AGATCGTCTGCAACTTTAGTCTCCGCAGAATAACGGTCAGATCGTACACAACTTTAGTCTCCGCAGAATTACGGTCAGATCGTACACAACTTTAGTCTCCGCAGAATTACGGTCAGATCGCACACAACTTTAGTCTCCGCAGAACTACGGTCAGATCGTATGCAACTTTAGTCTCCGCAGAATTACGGTCAGATCATATGCAACTTTATTTTTTGCAGAATTACGGTCAGATCGTCATCAGTTTTAGTCTCCGCAGAATTACGGTCAGATCGTAACCAAGTTTAGTCTCCGCAGAATTTCGGTCAGATCGTATACAACTTTAGTCTCCGCAGAATTACGGTCAGATCGCACACAACTTTAGTCTCCGCAGAACTACGGTCAGATCGTATACAACTTTAGTCTCCGCAGAATTACGGTCAGATCGTACGCAACTTTAGTCTCCGCAGAATTACGCTCAGATCGTACACAACTTTAGTCTTCGCAGAATCACGGTCAGATCGTACACAACTTTAGTCTCCGCAGAATTACGGTCAGATCGTATACAACTTTAGTCTCCGCAGAATTACGGTCAGACCGTATACAACTTTAGTCTCCGCAGAATTACGGTCAGATCGTACACAACTTTAGTCTCCGCAGCATTACGGTCAGATCTCATACAACTTTAGTCTCCGCAGAATAACGGTCAGATCGCACACAACCCTTAGTCTCCGCAGAACTACGGTCAGATCGTATGCAACTTTAGTATCCGCACAATTACGGTCAGATCGTATGCAACTTTAGTCCCCGCAGAATTACGGTCAGATCGTCATCATTTTTTATCACGTCCTGCCAGCAACCAGGCCCCCTTTCAGCGTGCTCAAATCGGAGCCTGTCACACGTGCGTTCAAGCCGTGTCAAACCATCCCAACTTGACATTGCCGAAAGCCTGATCCCTCCCACCCTTGAATATCCCCCCCCCCTAAATTTCCTCGCTGAAACGACACAATTTGGCACCCTCGCTGAGGGTGCCAAATGTGTTGCCCCGCACGGCCCCGCTAAGTTTGGGCCTGTGGTTGAGAGTCGCACACAGATGATGCAACGCTGAAACCCTGCTAGGTTTGCACCTGTGGTTGAGAGTCACACACAGATGATGCAACGCTGAAACCCCGCTAGGGGAGCTGCCCCTGGCTCTCACAAAATGGCAGTAGTTCGCGCGGAAGATGCGGCAGCTCTCAAAGCCCCTCCCCCGAAGCCCGTACCGTAGGGACCCAAGACCTTCATTTTTAAGGTCTTGGCAAAGACCCCAAAATTCCAGGACCATCTTTTGTTTCGGACAGTCCTACCTAGGGCCAAAGACCCGTGCGCAAAGAACGCCTATGCAGACAGTGCTGGTAATTATTCGGAATTCGCAGGCATCCGCCCCTGCATTTCTCGTGACTGGGTCTCAGACTTCGCGGATTACACACATTTTACATATCATGCACGGAATGTGTGTTCCATGATAAAATATCATTGCATACAAATTATATGTATACACACATACATGTATACATATACATATACGCGTATGCATATAAATATTTATATATAGAGAGATTCTTAACCAGCAAGCAAGCAAATAGCGATAACATGAGTCCAGTTGTGTTGCAAATGTTGCGCCACATGGCCTCTTTGCCGCCGAGTACACCCGTGCATCAAAATCCAAACTTAGGCAAGCTCTGAGAATGTATAGTTGTAGCTCGCACAACTGCAAAGGATCAACCAGCCAAACACCATAAAACAGATCTATGGCCACAAAACACATCACCATGTTAGTTGAAATATTGGGGCACAGACTTGTGCGACATTCATACATTCATCGCGCCCCTCGTGTAAAGCAAAAACCCACCATACCACGACGCCCACAAAAACCAAAGCAGTTGTCCGGAACTCAACTGCAGGCGCAAGCGTGATTGAAGAGTCAACCACAGAAGTTGCCTGACAAGTCGCGGACTAATAAGCTGCCGAATACATTGAGTTGGGATAAGTTCCAAGCGTTTTGACATAACGGCGGGCTGCAGAGTCACAACATCTGCGTTTGACTCTCAACGTGACCACATGTGCAAAGCTAGCGGAGTTTCAACGTTACAACTTCAGTGTTTGACTCTCAACGTGACCACAGGTGCAAACCCAGCGGTGTTTCACTGTCACAACATTTGTCATTAACCCGCAACGCGACCACAGGTGCAAACCTAGCGGGGTTTCAGCGTCACAACATCTGTGTTTGACTCTCAACACGACCGCAGTTCAAAATCTAGCGTGGCTTCAGCATCACAACGTGTGTGCTTGACTCTCAACGCGATCACAGGTGCAAACCTAGCGGGGTTTCAGCGTCACAGCATCTGTGTTTGACTCCCACCGTGACCACAGCTGCAAAGCTAGCCGGGTTTCAGCGTCACAACATCTGTTTGCCTCTGAAAGTGACCACGGGTGCAAGCCTAGCAAGGCTTCAGCGTCGCAACATCTGTGTTTGACTCTCAACGTGACCACGGGTGCGCACCAAGCGGGGTTTCAGAGTCACAACATCTGCGTTTGACTCTCAACGTGACCACATGTGCAAACCTAGCGGAGCTTCAGGGTCACAACTTCATTGTTTGACTCTGAACGTGACCGCAGGTGCAAACCTAGCCGGGTTTCAGCGTCACTGTTTGACTCTCAACGTGACCACAGGTGCAAACTTAGCGGGGCTTCAGCGTCACAACATCTGTGATTCACTCTCAACGTGACCACAGGTGCAAACCTAGCGGGGTTTCAGGTTGACGACATCTGTGTGTGACTCCCAACGAAACCACAGGTGGAAACCTAGCGGGGTTTCAAGCGTCAAAACATCTGGGTTTGATTCTCAGCGTGATCACAGGTGCAAATTTAGCGGGGTTTCAGCATCACAACATCTGTGTTTGACTCTCACCGTGACCACAGGTGCAAACCTAGCGGGGGTTCATCGTCACAACACCTATGTTTGACTCAACGTGACCGCAGTTCAATACCTAGCGCGGCTTCAGCATGCACTGAGCTAAAGGAACGAACAAGAACGAAAGCCAAACGTTGAAAATGACACGCTGCCAACAAACCCCGACAAAAACTGACAAAATCCGACGAAAACCGACAAAAAACGAGAGAATCAGTCAAAAAACGTCAAAAGCGCAAAACTGGCCCAAGATGACAAAGTCTTTAACAGTCTGTTCCCCTACGATCTGTTCCCCAAACACATTTTGAGGTACCTTGTTTGCCACCAGCTAGTAAATGGTGGAATGGCAAGCGCGCCAGAAGTCCTGCGGCTCAATGTGGTTTCGCCAACAAACAAAAAAGGCGACCATCGAAGGCTTAGGATGCAGTTTCTAGGGAGCGTGAAAAAGGTCCTCGCAATGCAATATATGGCAGTCCCATCACACGTGATCCTGTTCGTAAAACCTCACAGCGTCCTGAGACGGTCTCGCAGCCGGCGATACCACCTTCCCATCAAGCGGAGCCACCAAAAGCAACCCGGAGTGGCGGCTGATGACACCGAACAAACGCGTGCGCCTCAGGTCGCCAAGCCGCATTTTGGCTGCTCACGAAGAAGCGCCCGACGCTCGTTGCGTCTGCTTCATAGAAGCGGATTCGTTTCTTTCTCCAAGTTTTTGCGAAAGCAGCACCTTTCCAGAACACATGCGTCGCCCTGCCGCTCGTCGCTGGTAGCCGGCAAGCTCATCATGCCGAGCAGGAGCAGGCGCGCGTCATCCACCACTGCCGTCCAAGACTACAACGAGTCACCTATCCCGGCCGTGCGCTGGAAAAGGAGAGGCTTTGAGCGCGCGAAACCTCTTCGCATTGACTCTGCCGCCAGTCAGCCCCCCACCGAAGACACACAAGATTACTGTGTCACCGTTTGCGCCGGACAAAGGGGTAGATATCCCTCCTGAGCCGCAGGCAAGACAGTCGCAGCAATGGTCAGGATGTGCAGGGCGTGATCAGGTTGCTCCTGACCAAAAACTGCTAGCAGGCGATACAGCTCCACGGTCACATGTGACCAAGGTCATCCTATCCCTTGCCCAGACCCGCGCCCTTCTGATTGTGGAAGGCGCGCCTACAGCTTGACTCCAGGCCAGCGGCAGGAGCGACCTAAACGCATGACCACCGGCAACACGCGCGCTGTCCAATTCAATCCCAATGGCTCAGGCTCTGGAGGCTACTGGATAAATGCTTTGCATGCCCAAAAAACGTATTTCCCCAAAATGGGCCCTTAAACCCAGGGGTGGTTTCAATCAGTCTTTCCCAAAAGTGGGCCCTTGAACCAAGGCTGTTTTCAAACCAGGTAAGACTGTGCAAGCCGCTCGGCATTTGGTCTGCGTGCCAAAATCATACCCTCAAAAGTGGGCCTTTAAACCAAGGGCTGTTTTCAAACCAGGTCAGGCTCGGACCGGTCTGCGTGTTAAAAACTTCAGCCTGCGCCCCAGAAAGCCTGCGGGACCCTGCGCCAGCCAAATGAACTCAGAGCAGCCCCTCAGCAGCAGCTGACAAACCCGCCAGCGGCCAGCAACTCACGGCAGAGGAAGCCCACGCCAGGCGGTCCCATTTCCTCCTTTCCAGTGGAAGCTTGCAGCGCGTGGCGTAAGGAACCCATCCTGCACTTCTGAAGGCTTTTTGACTTCAAGCCGGTCGCGTTTATTGTTAGTTTTTTCCGATGCAAAAAAAAGCCAGCTGCATCCAGAAGACAAAGTGCATTTTGAACTGGCCTGCGTGAGAGATTTCACATTTGCAATCTTGCGTTGTCTTGAGCGCACGCGGTTACGTAGCGGTGGAACGTTGTTTGGGAACCAGGATTGTGTTTGACCCAAAGGACATTAAAGCGAGTCCGGCCATTTTTGCAGTACTGAAGCCGTCGGCCCTTCATGGTCCTCAACAGCGCTTGCCGCTTCAGAGTCACTAGGCGCTTTTTGGTTGGAATGGCTGCCCTTGGCTCTGAATCAGTGATTTTCTCAAGCTCGATCCATTCAGCTGAGGTCTCCAAGCGTGCCGGTGGCAAAATCTTCGTGGCATATTTTGCCAACTGGTTCCAGTGGTGGCCTGCGCCCTACAAGTTATTTGGCTGAGGTCAGCCACAAACGACGATAGGCGGGCTACAACCACTATTCAACCACCATAAATTGGGTAACTCTACTTAGTAATGCGCGTCTTGCTTTGCACCTAGACTCCCGGAAGCAGTTTGCCGAAGAGGCCCCCAAACCACTGCCCCCAATGGGAGATTGGCTGCACGTCCATTGTACAGCGGCTAGATGATAGTTATATGCCATATTTTCCTTGGTACGAGTGGTTTAGGAGTTTGGGGTTTGTGTTTAGTGTTGTCCAAGGTTCATGCCATCCAACATCCCAGCAGACAAGATCACCCATCTGAACTACGCCTTCGCCATGATCCATAGCAGCACGTTCCGCATTCGCCACTTCGAAGACAACGATTTGAGCAACTGGGCCACCGGCAATAACATGGACTTGCCATGCAGCCAACAAACGGGGTGGTGCGACAAGGGTCTCTACGAGCAGGCGAGGGGTTGCCTAAAACAAACCCCGGGGGACTGCAGACCCTGACCCTGTTTGCAAACCCACAACATCGATGCTTTTAGCTGGATTTGTGCATTCTTAAGAACTGAATGGCGCTGTCCTTTCTTGTCCGTCCATCACCGTAGTCGCTGCTTGTTCATGTCTTTCCGTAGGTGAGCCAAAGCCAAGCTACGGGCAAGGAAGAGTCCCCAGAAAAGTCGGTGCAGCTGCAATTTCAGTCTTCATGGTTTTTGGCTGGAGATGGCTGTGCCAATTTCGTACCATTTGATTGCGACTCAGGTCAACGAGTTAAAGGTTGCGCATCCGCACCTGAAGACCTTGATCTCCATCGGGGGCTGGTCCTTCAGCTCCCCAGAGTCCGAGGACGCCGAGAGCGCCACTAGGATGAGGCGCCTGGATAGCGGCTGGACGGAATACGTCTTCTCTGATATGGTGAGCACCGCGGACAACCGACAGAGACTGGGCAAAGACAATCAATCAGAATGAATAAATCTTGCAACGGTGTTTCAGACAAATGTTGCCCTAGGGGCGGTCTTTGGATCCATCCTGTTGCTTTGCTAAAGCCTCATAGAATGACCCCGAACTGAACCATGCCATTGGTTGTTTCCAAAAAGGCCGACCTCTCATTGCCAAGCCCACTTTTGATGCCCCCACTTGCGCAAGTTTAGGGTGGTTCTCGAATTGGCCCACACAAATGGGCAACGGATTCCTGATGAGAACCAAAATCGGTTTCACCCATCCAGTTTCAGCGAATCTGACTAGGAAGTTCCTGGCTTCGGCCATCGACTTCTGCCGAACGTGGGGCTTTGACGGCCTCGACTTGGACTGGGAATACCCAGGCCAAAAACTCAGACATGGACGGGTTGGTGTTAAACGGGGATGCTGTTTTTGTGGACGCTTGGTCAATTTGGTTCCCTTTGAGGGGTGTCCTTTGTCAGGCACCCCTTTTGCGCAATTTTACAAGGGAAAACAAGAGACGGATTTTGAGACAGGCCTATGTTTATGGTTCCCCCTTCCTTCCCGGCTGGGCAGCGCTTAAAGGAACGGCAAAAGCGTAGAGCCTCTGACCGCAAAGGACGCAGCTCATGTGGTTGTTTGCCAGGGGCGTTTGTCTTCCGTTAAAAAGAATCTTCGGGATCCCCCAAACACCATCAAATTGAATGAGGTGTTGAGTAATGTTGCTCGCGCCTCGTTGCGGGTGTTTTGACAGCCGTTGGGGGCTTGATGGAACTGTTTGTCAAGTTTGTTCCAGCACATCCACGGGCTTAGTTCGACAAAATTATGTCCAAGAAAGGTTGACCAGCACAAAAAAAAAACGGCCTGCTTCCATTTAAGAAAGGATCCATCCTTCACTTTTGGGACGCCCGCCTTTTAATCCAGCGGGTTGATGAATGCAGGCCGACATTGATAGCCAGGTCATTTCGCTTGGGAGTCGTTGAGTGTGTCAAATGTTTGCAGGAACGGTTAGCAATAGTCTTGCTGATCTCGCCCACAAGTCCACAGAGTTTGTTTGACAAAGTGCTGTCTCGGGCACTGATCTCAATCATCAACCTATAGTTGTCTTTAAATGTGTCTGTTTGCGTTTGCGACCCAACATGGGAACCGATTCCCCTTTCCCAGGTTACATCGGCCGCGGTGGCCGCAGCACCGACAAGCGGAACTTCGCTGTGCTGTTGGCAGAGCTTCGAAGAGCCTTCGAGGTCGAAGGCTCTGCCACAGGGACCCTCGGCCGGCCAAACGTGCAACACGCTGTCCGATTTTGACTTTTGCCATGAACCAGTACCCAAACGGTTCAAGTGGGACACGGGAAGGCTACGGTACAGTTGCAACGTCTTCTTCCTAGTTTGCCGGCCTATAAGTGACCGCTCCTTTTCCCAACACTTCATAGAAGAGGCCAGGCATTGAAACGGGTCCTCAAAGAATCTGTGTAAGCAACCTTTTCTGGGGCCATTCCGGAGAGATGAGTTCTTGTACGCAGTACTGTTTACCTCGGGTTAATTGGGAGGACCGTATTCAGCTGGTGCTCCCTTCAGTAGGGAAATCATCTATTTGGGTGTGTCTTTTTCAGAGACACCCCAAAAAGGCGGTTTGCTTTCGATTTCCCTTTCACCACAAAAAATGGGCATCCTCAAAAAACGACAGAGCAGTTTTAGTTCAAACAGATTGCGTGATTGCCTAACTGACTGAGGAGACCCCCTTTGTTGCTCACAGCTGCGGTGGGAATCGGCCCCACGACTGCTGACAATGCCTACGACGTCCCCGCCTTGAATGAAAACCTGGACTTCATCAACTTGATGACGTACGACATGTACTTGGATGCGTCATTTTGTGACATACCCTGTTGGGAGTGGGTTTAACCCAAAGGAAACTAAGCATTGTTGAGCTTACGAATTGAATTGTTCCCATCCAAGAGCAAGGCCAGCGCATGACGTGCGCGCGGACACTTGTATCAGTGCGGTGCTATCATGTTGAACCAACAGTCAATAGGTTTGGGGCGCTCAGATGGTAGTGGTCTGAATTGTTGTGTCGGTCACGAACTTTGGAAATCGGACTAAGTGTCGCTCAATTTTGAACCCCCTTCCCCTTGCTTTAGACCTTGGACAACGGGTGAACGGATGAGGTATGGAGGATGGAGTCCTGAGAAGACCGCGATCCATAGCCAACTGTACGCCGGACCAGGTGCGGTTGAGTTGTCGTTTCTCTTTTGACACAGCCACGCGTTTCTCCCGTTTAGGCTGGATGCATGCCTTCTTTAATTAGCCTGTTTGAGTATTTGGTTGTGAGCAACTATGTGGATGTTTGGAGCTTGTAAAGGAAGCGACTCCCTATCAAAGGGTAATTGGAACCCTCTACAGGAACCTTGTTCTTGTAACTTTTGAGAATCCATTCTTTCAGCCCTTTGCTTTGTTCATCCTCCACCCTTTTCGTTCGCTGCCGATCTTATTTTCCGGCCCTGCTTTTGTTCGCCCCCAGGCTCACTTTCATCACCCTCAGCCCAGGTTGATCAAGGCAACCTTCCGCGCTAGGGCGCCACAGGCCTTTCCTAGATAAACCAACCTTGAACCAACCATAAACACTGAACACACCCTGAACAAGGTGTAAGCCCGCCCTAAACCCACCCTAACACCCTCTACCATCCTTAAACTGCACCCACTCTAGCCTAACCCTCAGCCAACACTGCACCCACCCTCAACCAAGCCTGACCTGAACCCACTTGTAGAAAAGGGAAGCCAAACCATTCCCAAACTGAACCCACCCGTCAACTCCAAATCCCACCGAAGTTCAAACCCGAACTCCGGCCGAATTCCACCCTAATTCCACACAGCCTAATCCCACCCTAACTAGCCCTGAACTACAATAAGCAAAGACAACGCCCAAATACAATAAACCGCGGTGTCGTTTTCAAAGACATCCCCAGAAACATCCTTCATAAAGACACTCCTAAAGACGTCCCCATAAGGACGCCTGCCACCGGCATCCCAAAGGTCATCCTCAAAAAGCTGCAGACCAAAGAAGCACTCAAAGGCGACGCCCAAGACAACTGCAAGCAAAGACGTCCCCGGCCAAGGCACCACTCCTTCAAGAAAACCTCCTGATCAGAGTTTTGCCGCCAGTAAGTTTGTCAATTGCTCATACTCATGAACAAAATCTGCGTTGCAGAGCGCCCCAAATCATCCCTAATTCGCAAGGAGATCTCCAGAAGACACGATTGCAGTCATCCTGAAAGACATGCCTCGACAAGCACAAAGATGCTCTACACTCCGCACACTTGGAGCAGCGCGCCTGCCACGACATGCAACGCGACTGCCATGCATCAAAGCATTTCGCCGGCCGCGAGATTGCAAAAAATCAGCGCCGCGCCTGCCTCAAAAGTCAACACGCGCCCTTCCTACGCTATCTTCACGCCATGGGTCAAGTGCTGCGCCTGCCACGGAATGATCGAAACAACAAAGGGAAGTGTTGAAGAAAGTGTTGGAGTGTTTAAAAATGGTTTCCCTATCAATTCCTCAACAGTTCCACTTTCAGTGGAACTAAGCCTATGATGCACAGTTTCCTTTGTTGGCTTTGCAAGGCAAGCAACCCTTGTCGCTTGCTTTTCAAAATATGCGTTCACGTCCAGCGCTTGCTCTAGGTGATTCTTTTGGCAACGGAGTTCCTTTGAGTGGTGAGTATGCAGTGGATGATTGGATCCGCCGCGGTGCCAGCGTTAACAAGCTCGCCCTGGGCCTTGTGACCTACAGTCGCAGCTTCCAGCTGCAGAGCGCAGCAGCGGGGCAGACGCCTGGCGCTGCAGCAGTGGGGTATCCTAGCTGCCCAATTGAATCCGCCCGATTGAAACACTACCCGGCGGGTTGCTTGTTTTTGCTTTTTTTTGTTGGAAAGGGATTTCCCTAAGCTCAACCAACGAGGGGGTGCCCTATTCTACCGTCACTGGGCTTCGCAGGTATGGCGCCACACAGCCTTACAGCAAGCAGACAGGCCTTGCCAGCTACTATGAGATCCTGACCCTCATCAGCCAAGGAGACGGGTTTACTAGATTTCTCCCTTGGTCGTTTAAACATGACATGGCTCTTAGATGTCCCTCCTGCTGGTCCAGTTTGAGCAGTTTCCTTTTGGTGCGATGTTACAGGGGAAATGCAGAGAATGTATGCGGGCGGAGCAACAGAGCCTTCTCTTTGGATTGGGTCGCGCTTATGAACGCGAGCTTTAGGAAGCTGCCTTTCCGCAGCATTTCCCTGCAGCAGTCTCTAGGAACGCCACAAGAACATAGCGGGACTCAAAAGTGAGATTGTTTGTAAGAATGAGACGTAAATCGAATGCTTGATCTGCTTGATCGCTCCCATTGAAGATTTCCCCAACCATGAATGGGAAGGATCCGAGAATTCCACCAGCTCAGGCAGACAGCGGCCTGACTCGAACTGACCGCCGCAGACGATGAACCAGCAAGGTCATGCTAGATGGTGAAAACGCCCTTGTCGTCCGGAAAAAACACAAGCTTGCAATTGTTACATCGTCGTGTAAGCGGACCAAGGCCACAGTTTCCCCGATCACCCTTGCCCATCTAGTTGAGAACGCAGCCTCATGTCTCTTGATCGCTTTCTCATCACACACACACACACCCCTTTCTTCAATTATAAGTGCTTCGCAATTCAACTAAGAAACAATCATCTTGGCATCTATGTGTCAGTAGAAATTCGATCAGCCCATGGCCTTTTTCCTAGACCCGGGTTGTTTGCGTGCCGGACAAAACTGCAAATCCGACGCACATAGCATGGCGTGCATTTCGCCCCCTTCCAAGACACCTCTAGGGGCTGGCTGGCTGCGAGTCCGTTCGCATATGTCGTGGCCCCGTGCAAGCAGAGGAGCCCAGAAGAGCTACGACGCATCCCGCTGTGGCGCTTATCTTCAGAAGGATGACCTATGGATGGGCTGCTTGCCTTGAGAGAAAGGCGGTTGTGTTGCGTGCTGGTTGGTGTGCTTGGCTTCATTGTATTTGATTGGCGCTGCGACATCTTAAGCTGGGTGTCATACGGCGTTTGGTTCGATTGCTTGTGGCGTTAAGCTATCGTTTGCTTGCAACGCTTCTGTTTGTGGTGCAGTGGAGGCGCTGGCGCCTGTACTGGTGGTGGTGGTGGCGGTGGTGGTGGTGGCGGTGGTAGTAGTGGTGGTGGTGGTGGTGGCGGCGGTGGTCCGTTCCAAGCTAAAGTAGAATTTTCAAGTATTTTGACCTGCAGCTTTCGGAAGATCATGCCTTGACCGTGGGCTCATCCATATGATTGTAACCTCGAAGCTAGAGGGGGCGCAGGTTCTTCTTTAAAGGATCTGCTGCCTTACAACATGGGTGATGGTCAAGACGAAGCCATGGGATGACTTTCGAAACCATTATGGAGCCCGATGGCTGAGGGGTCCGGACGCTTTGACCTTTGGTGGTCATGTGGTGGAGACTAAGTTTGTCCAGAGGAGACGGTCGCTCCGGAGATGCTGCAGCTGGTGAAAAGTGACACAAGGAGAGAATCACAGGCAAGGGGGCCTTTAAGTCTCTGGACGCGGAGATCGGCCTGTCTGAAGGTCAGGGAGCAGGAGGAGCAGGTCATGCAGGCAGTGTTCCTGCAGACCAGAATAATCTCCCTGCAGGAGGTGAAGAAGAACCTGCTCCCGTCAGTCAAAAAAACTGGAGAACTTCACTTCCAACCAGGCTATTCAGAGGGTCACCAAGGCTGAGGCTGGGCCAGCTGCTGTCTCCCCCTTCTCTCACCAACCTGGCGCGCAAGCATAGGCGAATGATCCTCTTCGAGCCCCAAACCCTTTAGCAGAACCGTGACTTTCCTATACGCCATCGCTTGTTGGCCTTACTGGCCAGCTCATCGGCTCTGTCCGAGTGGACCGCCGCACATCCATGTTCAAGTAGTTGAGGCGCGCCACCATACGAGCCATCGGCCAATGTGATGGCCTCTTTATTCCTTGACACACTGTAGTTCCGCACTTCCACATCCTCCGGCTCGACCATCTCTTCCCATGTCTCCGTGTCCCCGGGGTCACCGTCAACGTGACCAGGAACGACTCCTCCGGTAGAAGAGGACTTTCCAGATCGCCATCAGCCGCAGCGACCTTGTTGATGAAAATCTCGCACCAAAGAAACCAGCTCCTTGCCCTTCTTGGTGACGGGGATTGCGAAGACACCCACCATCATGTAGCGGCTCCTTGCCTCCTCCATTCTCTTCCCGGGCGGAATGGCCCACACAAATCCAGGGAAAGCGTAAACGTGTGAGCGGCCAGCGGCGTGTGGTTGAGCCCAATCCTCCCCTGACAACTTCGACACCACCAAGCTCCATACGAAGACCCTCCACGATCTTCAGCTTGAAGGGCTCTACCTTTGTAAGGCCTTGATGTTCGTCCCCGGAATAGTGGGCTTGCGACGCTCGTGGCCTAAGCCACCCAAATCCAGCCTCACCTCCTCTTGTTCCTGAAGGAGGCCCATTCCGGCCACGCAAAAGCTCGGGTAATCCGTGCTGTCGGACCTCTCCTTGTATTATTCCTGAGGGTCTCGAGGGTGTTCCTTCAAAAAGCGCTGAGCCAGGGACAGCCACAACTGCCTGCATAGTTGAGGGCCAGTTCCCGATCCACTTCTGCGACCTCAGAACCGGGGGGCCAGATCGCTGATGCCCTGGGCCCAGCAGGGCATCAACTGCGCCGCTTTCCGCAGCATGACCCGGAGGATGTCTCCATCGTCTTCCTCCACCAACTCACAACTGATCTGGCATCTTGCCGGGAATGTCCGGCCACAACTCCTTGATGTCGACCATCCACCTCCAGAGCTTGGCGTTGACCTCGCCCGGCTCCCCCGCCCTTAAGGCTCTGAGACGCCTTTCCATTTCCGTTCCCTCCTTCTCACACTCTCGGTTTTTCACTTGATGAGCTCCACCTCCTGCACCACTGTGGAACAGCCATCTCAAGTCTCGCAGCTCGACTCCTCATGCTGCCAAACCACCCTGTAGCCCAGGCATGCAATCCTTGCAAGGATGATTGTTTCGGTGGGCTGCCAACAACGTGCCCATCCCAGCAGGACCCTGTCTCAAAGTCACCTCCAGTTCCACCTATATGGGCACCGCGCCCAAAAAGGGTAGTTTCACCGCCTTTTGCTCGTCTCAGTGCATCGCCTCCTTCACCAGCTCTCCATTCACCTGATCCGTAGCGAAGATGAGGGCGACAACATGGTGTTCCTGCTCGGACCTTCAGCAAAGCTGTCGCATGTGCTGACTGCTTCCACAGCGCCAGCATCCTCCAATCTTGCCTTCCTCCCCCCAGTCATGGGCGATGCCTGAGAGAAAGTACCTGCCCCTTGCCCTCTCCTTTGGGGTTCTGAGGCTTGGTCTTGCCTCCCCTTCCGCCTGCAGCGTGTCTGCGAATTGCAGGATTTCTTGTGGCGAAGGTGCCACCTCAGCAGAGATCCTACCCAGGCCCTCTGCGAATTTGTCCAGGGTGGAATGCGTAATTCCGCATTGAGCAGTGGGGCCAGGTTGCGCTGCTCAAGCGGTGCCAGAATCGCTTCGAGGACAAGGTCCTGCAATTCCGGCTCTCACCGTGTCCTGGTTCGCCTCCAGCAGTCCACCAGTTCCATCACCGCCAGGACCACCATCCGCTCCATTGCCAGACCCTCCACCGACTCCACAGCTCCAACCACGAACTCCAAACGCCCTTGCGGCGACGACCTCCACCAAGCCTCGCAGGTCTCCCATTCTGGCACCCTTCAAAGTGCTCCAAAGCCCGCACTAGCTCCAAACCCTAAACACTCTCCTCTATTTATATTTAAATCTTAATGTCCAAACGGTCCCGATTTGGCCCCAGTGAGTCTCAATTTATCAGCAGCTGGCCAAGCTCAGATTGGGGTTTGGAAAAGAAGCGTTCCTTGACCTTTTGCATCTGGCCGATGTAGTGCCAAAGCCTTGCATTCTCTTCCACCACAATCTAGTCTCTAGGTCTTCAGGGAACGTGCTTGGCCTCATGGCCTTCAGCAGGGCTTCAGCCTTCCCCGGCTCCGACCAAAACGGATTCACCTCAGGGCCCAAGGACTGAGGAAGGCCATCCGGCTTGAGCTCCTCCTTGGTCACGAGCGCCAATTGAAAGTCCTTATCCAAGGGCGTGTGCATCTCGCCCTCAAGGTTGCTTAACCCTGGCGCAGGTTCTTCTTTTTGATCCACTCAAAGAAAGGGCTTCATCCGGGATATGTTCAAACCGCTGTGTCCAAAAGGTGGGTGAGCGATGTGGTATCTCAGTCTCCTAAAATCTTGCCAAACCCCGAAAGCAGCAATAGGCAATGAGGTCTTGAAGCAAAATTGCTGATTGTGGCCCATCGTCTCTCCCAAACGCGAGTGTGTCAACATGAGCCAGAAAAGCAAGGTAGACAGAATCAGAAGCTTTGCTTTGTTACAAGTAGCATCACCCGCGCCGAAAAAGAGCCGTGCAGCTACAGCATCAAGCGCGCACGAACATATACCAAGCGCCGCAAACAAGTCAACCGGCACCGCCACCCCCACAACCAGCACAACCACCGCCACGAGCAGCAGCAGCAGCAGCACCACCACCACCACCACCACCACCACCACCACACAGAGGATCCGCCCGTGTGGTTGAGTCAAGCCTTTGGCAGTCCTGGCGCCGCGAAACCCGAGGTTTCGATGACGAAAACAGCGTAAGATGCAAGGCTGCCTTCATCAAGAAGAAAGGCCTCATCGGTCCCTTGCCAAAGTCCTTTAGACGGTGTTTATCGCGATGAGAGAGCGAGAGGGGGAGAAGCAAAGAGAGAGAGAGAGAGAGAGAGAGAGAGAGAGAGAGAGAGAGAGAGAGAGAGAGAGAGAGAGAGAGAGAGAGAGAGAGAGAGAGAGAGAGAGAGAGAGAGGGAGAGAGGGAGAGGGAGGGAGGGAGGGAGGGAGATGGTGCAATGCTGGGTTCAACTTAACTGTTGCTTCCTTGATGTTTGTTGGATTTGTGTTACCAGTGAAGCCAGGACGCCCGCGCCGTCCCACAGCCTCATGAGAACAATGAAACGTGCTCAGATGATATTAACAGGCTGATGGCTGTTTGCGTGGGTCGTTGCTGCATTGTTCGGAGAAGTTTAAAAAGTTCTGTTTTCCTGAAGTTAAACACGTTGGCGACTAGTGTGGACAAATCTATCAAATTGCCGTACACAAAAACTCTCAACATGGGAGCCGCCCTCTCAGAACCACAACAACCAACGACAGAACCGATCAGTTCTAGCTGCATATCTTCTGTAGCTTCGGCCACTTCATCTGCAGATTTCTGATCTCAACGTTTGCTAGTCAAAAGAGGCCCCTAAAAAAGATGAGCTCCAAACGTGAAACCACCCCAACTAGCATAATCTAATCAGGGCGCAAGCCAAAGGCTAAAATGGACCCCCTGTTTAAAGCTTGGGTGAACATTGCACGTTGAAGACGGCCAGTCTTTGTGGCTCTTCAAATAGAGCTTCTCCAGGAAAAGCAGACCCAGAAGAACATATAGTGCTAGCTTGCCTCAACACCAACCATGACGCTAGGTGGCTTGCTCTGGGATTTGCCTGAAGACGACTTTCCCAACGGCTCGCCCATCACCACGGCGTTCAGCCAAGCACTTCTATGAGGCTGGCCCGCAGGGGTTCAGCCTGGGCTCAAGGGTTTTAGAAGTGCTACCAGATGCACAGCTGGTCAAGCCATTGTCACAACGTATGGGAAGCAATGATTCAGACCTACGCCCGACGCAATCTTATGGCACCTTTGAGGCTGCTTGTCGCGCAGCTCCACACAGGTGTTAGTGCCGGCCATCCACTGACTTTAGCTGCGTTAATTGCTGAATTCGCGTCTATGCTCTGCCGAACTTGGGTACCTGCTTTGCACGTTTGCCTAGGCACCTAATGGGTCGGGGGTGTCACTGTTTATGGAGCCAGTTGCACTCGTCATCGTGATGCCGCTGAATGCATGGATGCATGTGCATCTGTGCATCGCGCAGCCGGACGGCCGTCTTGGCCGATGGTAGAACACTTACTTGAAAGCCAAGTCAACTGCCAAAGTGCACGGACCTGGTAGTCTTTGCGCCAACTCTGCGAGCCATGTATTTGTACTGCTAGGCGTTGACCCAAAGCGCCTTGAGCATTTGCCGAATGATAGGACAGTTCATGGTCAATCAATTGCCTGTGCCACTTCACAACTTGCAAAGTTCATCCCCAAGTTGCCCCGTCTGTCAAAAGATGTTTAGCGTTGAGCATGGAACCAATCTGCCCCAGGGTAGCAGATCTCATCATGAGTGCCTTCTGACATACCTTGATGCTGATTCTCCCAATGTGTGCAAACAGCCCAGGACTCTGAGCTAGCTACATGCAGTCGGGCTCCTTTCCAACACTAAGTGGTCCGGAAAGCACAAAGCACTAGCTGGCGCAAAACCTGATCCCGAAGCATGAGTTACGCGATTCTTTGCGCGATCCGGACTATGATGCTCCAGCATAAGGTTTCAAATCGCCCTTTGCGGTGCGAATTACGCATTAAGATGATTACCAACAAGTGGATTACGCAATGGGTTTCGAACAGGCAACTAACACATCCTGCACTGCTCCCATCCAAAACCTGATGTTCGTACAACTCAGCTGGATCGTCAACTCAGCTGGATCGTAGGCAAACGGAGGGCGCTGCTCAGTTGAAGTTTCTCAAGGCACTGGCCCCAACCAACGCGTGTGCCCCTAAGTGCCTTTTGAAGGCTCAGGTGGCCTTTGGTTCGTTTATGAGCTCCCAACCCACAGGCTGCAGGACCTGCTCAGCGCATTGACCCGCTCGGCTGGCAGCCGACAGGGCGCCCAAGAATTGAGCTTGGAACTGACATCTGGAGAGATGCCCCTGCGTGTCTCTGGGTGTTTCTTTCTTTTTTTGAGTGTTGGCAGGCCTTTCATTTGGCCCAAACACCCTTCTTGCGTTTAGAGTCGGTTGATCGTCTTGAGACATTTTGCACGCTGATCAGTGACACAAATGCTCTTTTTGGCTGTTGCGTGCGCTGACCAACAGTGTTTTGTCTGCACGGTTTGGTTTTGGCCGCACGCCCTTAATTCCTCGGCACTTGGCGCGTGGCTTGCATGGCGTCGATAAGTGGGTGACAGAAAGCCTGGCAGACGCAGTGCATAAAAATGCTTTGCCGGAATTATGTTGGTTAGGTTTTTTGACATAGATATATTGTATTCATCCTAGAATTATTTTTTTATATATGATTTAATTATAACTATTAGAAAAAAATACTATATAAAAAACATAAAGTTATTGTTTTTATTTGGTTTGTTGTTTGTTGGGATATTGGTTTTGGATTAAATTGATTGAGGATTATTTATATTTTATTGGTTTTAATATAATATATTTGTATATGTTGAAAATTTGTTATTTTTATTTGGTTAATATATTAATTGGTAATAAATCGATATAATTATACAATGTTTACAAATGATATGGTATGGGGAAATTGATATATATATATATATATATATATATTAGGATTATTGTAATAATATATTAATTATATAGTATTTTAAATTTTATTATATATATTAGGATTATTATAATAATATATTAATTATATAGTATTCTAAATTTTATTATATAATATCTAAATATATTTAAATTAATAATTATTTATATTTTTAAGTTTTCTTTATTAAGAAATTAAAAATTTGAAATTTTAATTTAGTTAGGTTTTGGATTGATTTAAGGTAATTTTAAAATATTTGTTTTATGAGAATTTATTTTTATGATATAAATATATTGAATATTTGTTATTATAGATATAAAATATAATAATAAAATCAAAAATAATTATAATTTATTATATATAGTAATTATTAAATTTTCAATTTAATAATAATTATTTAAAATATATATATATATGTTTTTATATATTTATTTTTAAAAAATAGTTTAATTAAAATAAAAATAATTATAATTAATTAATATTTCCCAACTTTAAATATATTTATATTAAATTAATTATTGTTTTTTTAAAAAAAACTTACCCCAACTAAAAAAACAATAATTTTGCATACGCCATGTTAACTAATTAAATATTTTTGGAAAAGAACCAAAAAAAAGAAGAAAATTCTTTAATATGAATCTAAATTTCAGAATGAAAATTATACTAAAAATCAAATCAAATAATATATATGTTTATGTTTTAAACATTAGATTTAGGGTATAAATCTAAAGATAATTTTTCATTAGGAAGAATATAGGTAATGAAGATAATTATCTATGATGCTTATTAGTTATGATAAAATTGGGTCTTTATAGATATCCCAATTATTTTCGTGAATTTAAATATATAAATGCAAAATATCTACACGATTGTCTCGTAAATGTTCTAATATTGCTAATGAATTTGATTTTTATTTTGTTTGAAAAAGTAATAATATAATTATATACATTTTTAACTACATTATGGTTGGCCCGAAAGCATAACATCGCAAGCGAGGTCGGCCAAACGCTGCAGGATGCGTTCTTTTTCCGCACGCGAAGATTTGTGAAGCAAGCACGAGATAGCACCAGGCAAGGTGCTCTGCGCAAACTGGTCGGTGCAAGTTGGTCTGCGCAAGTTGCTCTATGCAAGTTGCATTGCGCAAGTTGCTCTGCGTAAGTTGCTCCGCGCAAATTGCTCTGGCAAGTTGGTCCCTACAAGTAGCTCCCTGCAAATTTCTCTGTGCAAATTGCGCTCCCTGCAAGTTGCTCTGTGCAAGCTGCTCTGCGCAAGTTGCTCTGTGCAAGTTAATCTGCGTAAATTGCTCTGCGCAAGTTGCTCTAGGCAAGGCGCTCTGCGCAAACTGGTCGATGCAAGTTGGTCTGTTCTACGAAAGTTGCTTTAAAATGCAAGTTGTATCTTACGACGCCCGTCCGCGGACCAGGAAGGAATCGAACCATCCGCCGGTTCCTGGAGCAGGCACGCGAACCACGAGACAATTCCCGAGGACCAGTCCGAACAACAAAAATCGCAAAAAACCTCAAGTTTTTGCACCTTGCATGACAGCTCAAATTTGCCCATTAGCAGAACACTGAATTGCAGACCGGATCTTATCTTGCTGATCTTCCAGAGTACGCAAGCTCCACAGTACATAATCTCTTCGACGCCATGGTCGAAGTGACGGGCGTGCTTCCAGATGAGCCATACGCACAGCATGCCAGTGCTGCGATTGATGCCACCCACGCAGTGGAAGAGAACATGAAAAGGACTTCCAGCAGCACGAGCTTTCTCACGACACGCCCAGAGCCTTGTGGCAGCTTCGATCCAAGCATCAGCCGTGCGCTTTGCTTGCTGGTAGAATTTTCTGCTTCTGCTGAAGCTTCCACACAATGTCCTGCAGAGAGAAAGCACAAGATGCTGCGTTGCAGCTTGCGAAGTACAACTGCCAGTCCTGCGGGGCGCCGCGAACACTTGTCATATCGTCTAAGCACATACTCGCTACATAGTTGATTTCTTTTCCGAAGCCCATGGAGAATTGCTTTAAGCGACAAGCAACTTTCAAGCTGCCCAAGAAATATGTCGCTCTGTCCTCCGCATAAATCTCACAGCCATCAAATGGCCAAGATCGCAGGTCACCTATATTCTAACCGAAGCTGTGCACTGAGTAGTACAGCTCTCTCCAAGCTCCACGCCAGAAATGCGCTTCAATGAGCTTCTTGCATTCTTCCACCCATGCCCAGTGCTTTGCAAAAGCTAAAAAGGTCAACTCCATATCCAAAAGCAAGGAAAATAATAGTCGCCCAGGCAAATCTGAGGCTCAGCCAGCAGCGTGCAAAAATACCACGACAACCAAAAAATGCGTTTCTTAATACACATGTTATTATAAGAAATCAACGAGCTCCACTTGGCGGCCTAAAATCCGGATCAATAAACAGTGTAATAGGAAACCGACGAGTTCAAGTCGGTTGCCCAAAATTATAAAAAGGTGATTGCAAAAGTCCGGACGACCGCAGATCGACCAAAAAAAACGTTTCTTAATAGACAGTTGAAATTGACGAGTTCAGGTCGGCTGCCCAATTTTGCAAAGATGTGACCACAAAAGCCCGGACGACCGCAGATCGACCAAAAAATGCGTTTCTTAATAGACAGTTTAATAGGAAATCGACGAGTTTGGGTCGGCTGCATAAAATTGGAAAATGCGAGCGCAAAAGTCCGGATGACCGCAGATCGACCAAAAAACGCGTTTCTTAATAGACAGGTTACCCAGAGGGACCAATAGACCCTTGAAAATTCGACCCTTTTTAAATAAGGGTGTAAGCCCTAGATTGCAAAGTCAAATAAGGGTCTATTTTTTTTACACCATGAGGGAGGGAGGGGAACACATGAGGGAGGGAGGGGAACACATGAGCATCACTCTTCTTGTCTCGCATGGCTCAGCAGTTTGTATATAGTGCCCTGCCGCCATGGCGGGATTAGAACCGATGCTCGAACTCTTGTCGCGATTTTCAGGAAGCACATGCCAGGAGGACCAAAATCTGCAGACTACTTGCAGCCGGAACCAGACATTCTGTGCGCAAGGCTCGAAGATCTCCTCATGGACATATGCCGCATTCAGAGGCGCAAGACTGGCAAGTTCCTGCAAACTTGCATCAAAGAAGCTTGGGCCTTGAGTCATGGCGAAGTCAAGACTTTTGCTCAAAGACTTCAAGCAGGTTTGGAGCACATCTACCTGAAGAAGAAGCAGGCCACCTCAGGCAAGAAGCTTGCCCCTGCAGTTGCCAGGATAATCAAGCTTTTGAGCAAGGAGGGCTTGGCTGAGGTGCCAAACGCGTCTGAGCAAGGCAAGGAGGACCTCCAAAACTTGTCTCCAGAGCAAGTCTCCAAGCTCTACGAGAAGTTTGGCGTGGACACTGTCCCAGAGTTGGCAGCATCCAGCAGTTCCCAGTTGGTCCCCATTGAGGTTTGCAGCTCCCAAGAAATTCTCGCAAGCCAGGCGTCGGCAGCACCCCCAGATGTCAACTACAAGCAGTACACTTGTTCGCACGCCGTGGCCCTCGTTCGACTCTTTCCTGACGGCTCCCAAACAACTGCCACCATGAAGGTGGGCCCGGGAAGCTTTGCCTTGGGCTGTTTTTCTAGCGAGGAAGCACACGAAAGTGAGATTCCCAATTCCATGGTGTTGGCCATGGATCCCAAGGTCAAAAAAGCCAAAGGCAGCTGCAAAGGCAGCTGCTATGGCCTTGAAAAGGCCTGCCAGCAAAGCACCTGCTGACTCTGGGAGTTTGAAAGCCATGAAGAAGCCGGCAGCTGCCCCTGTTGGCCTTCCAAAGTGTAGTGATGCTTCGAATCATTTATTTGCTGTCATGCACTATAAGAACAGCAATTCGTACGCCATGCGTGCAAAGACTGGCACCAAAGCCCAGCTCTTTTGTGTCCCCTTTGGTGAAAGGACTCCACAGCAAGTTTTTGGCATTGTCAAGGATGCTGTGGCTAAGCTCACCGCTGGAGACGATGTCCAAGCTGTGAAGGAGTGGGCACGATCTGCGTAGAACACGGTACACTGCGGTCCAAAACCTGCACTTGTTTTTTGGGGAATGCGCATGTTCGAATGTATATGTGAACGCATCTGCAGTGCGTGTTGTTGCAAACAGGCCAGGCTGTGTGAACACATGCAATTTCAACTGACACATTCTTACGTACAAAAGGAACAAACGACAAACCACCACAATGTTTATGAGGGAGGGAGGGAGGCGACCTTGGTGGGAAGGATGGTGGCTTGAAAGTGTTCTGTTTTAAAATTGTTGCAAACCAACCATGTGCAGGAGGGAGGGAGGAGCTAAATTGTTGTAACATGACCCCAATGGTGTTTTTTAGAAGGGATGATGTTGGAATAATTTGTAGCTGTAAAAGGGATTGTCTAAGGGGGACTGGGCGCTTGACACATGCCTGGTCGCAGTTTGCTTGATGCATGGCTCATGTTGGAAACCTGTTGCTTGATGCATGGCTCATGTGAGCGATCCTGAGCTGTCTCGGTGCCATCATGTCTCGGTGCCACCATGCCTTCCCTGAAGAGGCCTGCCAGTGCCCCTGCAAAAGCAAAGTGCAAGGCCAAAGCCAAGGCCAAGGCCAATGAGCCCCAGGCCAAAGCTGTGCCCCTGTAGAGGGGAAGAAGAAATGTCGCCTGA